AATCCCCGGCCCTTGTGTGACTGTCATATTATGAAAGCCTAACAAAGCTACACAGATGGACATTATTATGGACTGAGTATTTGTGTCTCCTCAAAATTCATTTGCTGAAGTCCTAACCCCCAATGTGATGCTATTTGAAGTTGGGGCCTTTGAGGTGATTAGATTTGGATGAAGCACAAGAATAGGGGCCTTTATAGTGCTACTCTCACCTTATACAAGGAGACACTAGAGAATTTGCCCTGTCCCTGTCCCTCTCCCCTTTCCCCCCTCTCTCCTCTCTCCCCCTCCCCCCTTCCTTCAAACAAAAAGAGGTCATGTGAACATTAGCAAAAAGGCAGCCAATTGCAACCCAAGAGGACAGCTCTCACCAGAAACTAACTAGGCTGCTACTATGATCTTGGACTTCTGGCCTCTAAAACTATGAGAAAATAAATTTCTTTCACGTAGTCTGTGGTGTGTTATGGCAACCTGAGCAGACCAATGCAAGCACTGAGCACCAATAGCCACAGGGGTGTGTCCACATAGCACCCAAAACATACCTGGCAGCCATGCCAATAAGTGGTGGCAAACCTGTGTGTGCCACAGTGAGCTATTTGTTATTATTATTTTTATTACTGAAAGTTCTAAAAGGTTTGCCATCACTGGTCTAGGGCGTAGATACTCTAGTCCCTAGGAAACCATCCCAGTATTGGAAACACTGAGCAGAGACTGTTATTTCCATTGATCTCTGCCCAAATCGCAGAATTATGAGCAGAGAAATCCAATGGTTCTGGTTATTTTAAGCCACTATATTTTAGGTGTTACAAGAGCAATAGACAACTGAGACAGCAGAGGTTTTTAAAAAACAAAAACAAAAAACTATTGCTATATTGTAGACTATTTGTTCCCTTTGGGGTAATGAATAAGGAAAAGTAAAGAATTTGAATTATTTTGAAATTTCAATTTAAGTTGCTGGGATATGTTTGAATTTAATATCACTTTGAGAGTGAACTACATGAGTGATGACTTCGACTTCATGAGCTGGATACAAAACAAAGATGTACAGCCTTTGTACTCCAATGGAGAGCTGAAACAATGATTATATAGAACATTAGGAAATTTGATTAAAATCTTAATAGGGCATAGATATGAAATAAGAATTTATATCCCAAACAGATGTGACAAGTAATGGTTCTATGTCCCACCAGTCCCATCAAATACCATTATTTATTTATTTATTTAATTAGTTATTTATTTTATTTATTTATTTTGGTACCGGGGATTGAACTCACAATCTTACGCTTTCGGGGCAGGCTCAGTGCCACTGAGCTAAATCCCTGGCCCCTCAAATACCATTTTTAAATCCATATAAATTAATTGATGGTGCCGGGAATGTTGATGCACACCTGTAATCCCAGCACTCGGGAGGCAGAGGCAGGAGGATCACTGAAAGTTTGAGGCTAGCCCAGGCTCCAGGTCCAACCTGAACTACAAAGTGAGACCCTGTCTCAAAAAAACAAAATAATTAATTAATTAACTAATTAATGGGAGGAAGAAAAGCTTTTTGATATTGGCCACTAATATTTTTTAATACTGCAAAAATTAAGCTCTGGGTGGCCATTGCAAAATGGTGAAACAATACGTACAAAGCGCCTGAACTTAGTTCTTTTTAAGATTTAGAACCTTGCTTCATAGGAACAAGAGTTTATTCCCCCTCAGCCATGAATTGAATTGGCTACCTAATGCCAAAAGACAATATGACTTTTAAGTATCAGTATCATTATACTGGGTCAGATGTCATTTATCCAGCTCAGCATATTGTTTGCTATGCAATTAAAAATATCCTGCACCTCCTTCTCCTCCTCAGTATTTCCATGAAGATTAACTGTGAACTAACAGAATTATTAAAATATAGTATCTGTTCCGTTGCCTGCCTCGCAAGCGCAAGGTCCTGAATTCGATCCCCGGTACCAAAAAATAATAATAAAATAAAATATGGTATCTGATGCTTCACTTTCTTCTCTAATGTTCTATAGGTGTTTAGTGAGAGCAAAGTTTAGATTGCACCAGTTCTGTTGGGCTCCGTTTTTATTCCTCAAATCTAGGCATTGACATATCTCTCTAGGGCCCTTGTAAAATGACTTTAAAAGCCTCTTTCTTCCATTATGTAGTGAGTCTAATGAGGGCAAAGATTACGCTAACTTCATCTAGATATCCTTTGGGCATGGTTTCACCCACACTCCCATCTCTCTATTCCACTGTCCACCATACCCTTCTCCTAATCATGACTATTGTCTTTGACCATTGGTTTCCCCATCCAGTGTGACAGAAAAATGTGACAAATGTGGCTGTGATATTTTTAATGTGGGCTTAGATAAAAATGTGACTTGTGGAAATAGTTCATCTAAAATAGAAACTTAGTAGTGCATAGAAAGAATCAAGACATAAGGATCCATATTAACATTATTACATATGTTAATTACATATAGGACAGCCACCAGGCTTACCAGAAACAAACTGCAGCATTCAAAACTAGTTTGGAGAGCCTCAGTGACAAATCAAACAAATGTTAATTAGATTTTTTTTATTTTCTTTATCTTCATTTCAGTTCTTCATATACCAGAAAGCACCAAGGTTACCTTAAAAAATGCTGGGCACCTTTCCCCCCTCTGTTCAAACTAAAAACAGTTAATTTAAAAATATGGTTCCTCTGAAGGTGGAGTAGAGCACCATACATTAAAGCAAGTGTCCCTTGTTTTCTTCAGGGACACAGCCAACAACCCCTCTGGTTTGGTTCATAGCAGTTCTTTGTAACAGCTTCTTTCTGAGGCATGGACAATAATAAGCACCAGCTTTTCTTGTAAGGAAGACTCCAAAATCTGCTGATCTCTTAGGGTTTGATATTTTGAAATTAGGACACTCTTAGGAATTCTTTAAAATCAGAATCTTTTCTTTTACTGCCTGCTGTGCTAGTGCAAGGACCCGAGTTCAATCCCCGGTACAAAAAAAAAAAAAAAAAATCAGAATCTTTTCATCTGAATTAACCTGGTGTATACCCATGAGGCCAGGAGGACCATTTTGCTGTTATGCGAAAAAGGTCTGAGTAAGTAAGGCTCTGAATGAGGTTTTGCCAAACCATAGAAAGTTAAATCTGGCTAGTTCATGTTCGGGGCTGATCTCTGCTGGGGGTATATTTGGAAGATGCAACCCGTTTTCCCTTGCCAGTCTTTAATCACAGATTAGATTAAATATCACCAACCCCTGTTCAATCTCCACTACCAGGAAGAAGAGTTATGCTACCACTATGTTACTGTACTCTCTTATCCACTATTTCTTTCCAAAGAAACCACATGACATGACAGAAGTTTAATACAAGGTACATGAGATGCTAATATCTATGTATACTGTATATATAGTGCATCTAGCTCATATCTACATAAGATTCAGGCCAGAATGAATGAATGAAGAAATGAAGAAATGAAGAAATGAATGAATGAATGAATAAATAAATAAATAAATAAATAAATAGCTGTATTAGCAGTTTGGGGTTTTGGACATATTAAAATAGTTATTTTAAGGCAGAGATTCCAATTACTTGCCTACCAAAATAGCCATTCTCCCTTTTTCTCTCAATTTAGCATAAGCTCAATAGCTAAGAATATAGCTACACAGATAAAAGATTACATTTCCCAGCCTGTTTCCACTGTAAAGTCATGTTACTAAGGTCTGGCTAGTGAGAGATAAGAAATGTGAAGAGGAGACTTCTGGGAAGTTGCCTTAAACAGGAAGGATGTGCATTTCTTTGCTCCTTCTTCTGTTTTGCCAGAAACATGGCTGTGATGGCTCAAGAGGCAGTCAGCACTGGGACACTGAAGACAAGGACAATGAGCGCCACTTCCTACTAATGGTAGGACAAGGACCCCCGTGACTTCACAGGGTCCTCTGTTAGTCTGCTTCCAGACTTCCATACAAGAAAGAAAGTAACTCCTATCTTGTTTAAAACCACTGATATTTTAGAGATTTAATTTTATGCAGGTCAATCTAAATCTAAGTAATGCATACAAATCTTTTTTTTTTGGTACCGGGGATTGAACTCGGGTCCTTGGGCTTGTGGAGCAGCCAGCGGAACCACTGAGCTAAATCCCCGGCACGCATACAAATCTTTACTTTCTATCACACTGCAAGCCTCGCCCCCACAATGTTTTGCTCCGTGTATATGTATTTGCTTGGAAGGCGTGGTCACTCCTGAGCCTCTTTGTTCTCCCTGTCATATTTAGTCACGCACTTCCTTGGGTTATAGCTACCACGCTCCCAAAGTAATATATATGGATCTCCCTGTCCCAGGTAAATGATCATTTTAGGGTAACGAATCAAAAAGTTTGTCTGTTGGATGGACCACTTTGGCACAACTTATATACTTTTCTATTCCCTGCCCTCCTAGAACCATCAAGATGGTAGGATAGGTCAGCATGAGCCAGCGTTTTCCACAACTGTAAGTGGGTAGGGCATGATTTGAAGAAAAATTCTGGACGAAGTATGCAGCCTACTGAGGCCAAAGAAAGAAGAAAGTTGTTGGCAGTTTAGACAGTAGAGGTTTCTACTTCCTGGGTGGGGTCCTTGTTGGAGAGATTGCCTGAGATATTGTCAGATTCAAGTAGTTCCACAATGCTGTAGGGAGAACAATCCTCTAGACCCAGCTTGCTGCAGAGCCAGCCACAGAAGCCTTTCTCCATGTCCCGGGCAGCTTGCCACCATGCTCCCCAGGACCATGAGAGCTGGACCACAGCAGCATAGAGGCCCAAGGAAGAAGCCATGGCCATGATGAGCACTGGATAGAAGAGAATGAGACAGGGACAATAGGAGACCTTGTGCCAAAAGGTCCTCTCCTCATTGTACACAAGGAAGATGTTGTACCAGGTGATAGTACCATAGTAGAAAGAGACAATGAAAGAGAGGATGAAAACTACAGGCAAGCAGACCAGTGTCCAGAGGACCACGTGGGGGCCCTGGTCTGCTCCCACCTGGCAGGCCTTTCTTCCTTCAGGTGCTGTTTCCTTTGATGACTCTTGGGGCTTGGTTAGTTCCTGCAGCTCCTTTTCTGTCAATGTGACATGGATGTCCACCATCTGCCCTTTTTTCTTCCCTCGAGTGATGGTCCCAGTTAATGTGACATAGCGGCTGTCCACAGGCATGTTCCACATACCTGCAGGGCACAAAGGAGCTGAGCTCAATATCTAAACAGAGAACATTTCAGCATATTGTCATCGCCTGAGGCTGGGGCTGAGCATGGCAATGTCTTTTTTTATAGTATCTGGCATAGCAGTGGTTGAAATCAGTGACTCAGTGGTGGACCAAATAAATAGGTCTCCTCGCTCTTCTCCCTGATAAACCTGTGAGACAGGTTAAACTTGTTTTTCTTATTCTATCTCCATTTTGGAGGATATTACTCTTGGCATGATCTCTGTGACATGGAAGGGGTGAAGAACTTTACTGCAGACCCCGCTTTATAATGATCCTATTGCTAGTTAACAAGTGCTAAGAATATATTGTTTATCAGTGTCAATCTGTGTGTTAACATTGTATCTGTGTGCTTTTGGCTGGTGTGTGCATTCTACCTCTTTTTCAGGGCCCAGGACCATGACAGGGGTTCTGACTGTGCAATAGGAGGGTTTGTTGTCCCCCCAAACCTAATGGTTTCCCAGACTCTTTCATCTCAGCAAATAATACCACTATCTGTCCTCTCTGTTATTCCTGTCAAGGACCCAGAAGTCATTATCAAGTCCTCTCTTCTCTCTCCCTACCTCTAACTCATCATCAAGTTCTATGGTGCATTTTGAATCTCACCTCTGCTCACTAACTGTCCCCTGTTGTCACCTTAGTCCCAGCTTCTGCATGAGTGCCACTGCAGCTGCACTGACACAGCAGGGTCCTATCACCATCCGCTCTGCTTTTTGCAGTCCATTCTTTATAGAGGAGCCAGAGGGAGCTTTTAAAAATATGAGACAACATGTCTCTGCTGCATAGAGTCCTTCATTGGCTTCCCCTCCATTTATAACAAATTCTAAACCCTTTACTATGACCTGCATGGCTCACCATGATCCAGCCTCCACCTCCTAATCTCATCACCATCCTTCCCCTTGCTCTCTATACTCCCTACCAGAAACAACCCCAGTCCATAAACAGCCAATGCTGCTCTCTGTCAAGGCTTTTGCCCTTGTAGTTCCTGCTTTTCAACACTCTCCCCATCTTTTCTTTACTGGTTCCTTTATGTCATTTGGAACAGCTTAGATGTCATTTCTTCAGAGAGGCCTTCCATGACCACTGAATCTCCCCTTCACCATACTCATCTTCCCATCACCATGGTTTTATTGCCTTTGGAACGCATACCACTACCTGAAATTATCTTTCATTTGTTGACTCCTTCACTGTCAGATTTCCCCTGACTAGAACATGAAGTCTATTCATGTTGCTTGTTCACTGAAGGCATGTCTCAGACATGTGCCCGTCTACATAAATAGACCTATCTCATCTCTCGACTGCTGCACAATAATTCTTAGTACAGACACTCCACAGCTTCATGAGCAACAACAAATATTCTTATACATGCAAAACTTCTGCCTAAGTTTCCTGAGGTGGGAGATACTGAGGATTTCTGGGTCTCAGGAATGCATATTTTGAATTTTAATAAATATTAACAAATTCCCTACAAAGTGGCTGAAGCAGCTTCCACTTCCACTTGAGGTCTATGAGAGTAAATGCATTTCCTCATATTAATATTTTACCCAGTTTTTGGCAATCATGCATGCGAAGGAATACTACATCTCATTGTTAACATAATTTGCATTTTCCTATTATGAAAGCCAATTATTATTGTTTCTTTATTTTACATTAAATGATTATCATGGTCTGTTCTCGTTACTAATTTTTGTGTAAAAATCAGCTTCTTTGATTAGAAGTTCTACAAGAGTTAGATCTCCTTCCTATCACCTAAAATAGAACACAATAGATGCTAAGTATATACTATTGGTTTGCTGAATGACAACAGCAAGGTGAGAAATGCATCACTAAGAAATAGGTGAGTGAGCAGATCTCTATCTGTCTCCGGAAGAGAAGATCCTCTTTTGGTTTCCTTTCTATGGTTTTGAAGGGGTCCCTAGAGAGACTCACCATCATCCATGGGATAGTCTAGGAAATCCTCTCCCTCCTCCTCTTTAGGCTGATCTCCACCTTCTGATTCCTCGGGCTCCTCCTCCATGTTCTCATTATCAGACCGGTAGATGATGATAGATTCTGGGCGGGACTCTTTCTTCTTTTTCTTTCGACCCATGGTGGATTCCCCATCCAGGGCCAGGGCAGCAGCCACAGCCCTCCTCAGAGAGCCCTGGGGAGCACTTGGGAGCTGGCCCTGGCCTTCCACTGGCACCGGTTCTTCCATCCCAGTCTTGATGTCTAGTTGTGCCTTATAAAAGAGTATAACTTGCTTGAGGGCCAGGGATTAGCTCAGTGGTGCCACCGCCTGCCTTGCAAGCGCAAGGATCTGAGTTCGATCCCTGGTACCCCCCCCCCAAAAAAGAGTATAACTTGCTTGAGAAAGCTCACGATCCACACATCACATTGCTTCTTCCTGGAAGGAGCTAGGTAAAGATGTCCCAACCTTGCTGAAGGACAGGAAAGCAAAGCCATCAATGCAGAGCGAATGGGAGGACATGGAAAGAGACTTGGGGAATCATCCTCAACTTGGCAGAAGCCTTCCCCTCCCTTCACTTCTCTTAACACTTTATTATGGCCATACCACCCTGAACACTCCCAGTCTCGTCTGATCTTAACACTTTATTTTGGGAGTCCACTAGAAATTCTAAGAATTTATTGTGAATAAAATTTTATTTGTGTTACAATGTTGTCATTTATACAAATGTGTAATATTACAAGAAACCTGTCAGTTTTATTGGGGGATTTCGAGTATAAGAAGGTGATGAGGAAGACTTCAGGCAGGTGAGAGTTAAAACCAGTCTTACTCCCATGACAGATGGAGACAGAGATAGCTAGGATCAGAACTGGGAACTTTTGGCTATTGAATCATACATTCCAACTATACCCAAGTGAAGGAAAGCAACTTTGAGAAAGCCACTCAAAGATGGTGCAAGTTCTCCAACTGCATCTACCTTGCTATTCTGTAAAGGAAACTAATCTCCTGGTTTTTGTTGATCCAAGACCTCAGAAAGTTGCAGGAAATCTGTGCTATCACATGGTGAGAAAGCAGTAGAGAGGATGTACTTTCACTACTAATATTCTATCTTCTCTTTTTCTTCTCCAAGTAAATACAGGCAAGAAGAGAGAATCTATGTAGTATCTTTTAGGGAAGATGTTGTGTTCTTGGTGCACTGTTTATGTCTGTAAAACAATCTTCACCTAATATTGATTTTATAGAGAAGGAATAAAAAACTTTATCTGGAGTTTGAAATTTTAAGCCAAGGTGCACAAAGAGAATGAAGAGCACTAAGAAGCTCTGACTCTTAAATCCATCCAGCTGATCTCTCAAGAGGCTACAGTCCATGTCTGAGCTTGAGCTATTCAGAAGGCTGGTCTGAATGCTGTTCCTGACATATAAATCAGCAAATACCCAGCCTGTAATATCTAGGTTGCTAGTTATTCATGTGTCTTATAAAGTAAACATGCAAAACCCCAGACATGATATTATAGAAAGTTTTAAACATGTATAAAAAGAGAGCCATTGTTATGGAAAATGACAAATCTAGGTAGAAGGAAGAATTATTTTAGTGAATCTTCCTGGTATTCACTGCCTACTTTCAACAATAATCAAAATATTCAAAGTCAATCTTGCTTCATCTCCTTGTATTTAGAAGCAAATCACAGACATATATCATTTCATTTCAATATGCATCTCTTACCTGTTAGAATTTCCTTTTTAAAAAATCATAATAGCATTATCACACCCCCAAAAAATTCTATTAGTTTTTTTAAATAATTTTTTAATACCATCAGCTATCCAGTTGGCTCAACTTCCCCTGTTAGCTTAGTATTTTTAGGAGAATTTTCTTGAATAAGGATCCAAATAAGGTCTACAGAATTTGAGTGGGTCCTACACTTTTTGCATCTATAGCAGTGCTGACCAATGGAACTTTCTGCCTTTAGCCCTGAAATGAGGTTGGTGCAACTGAGGAACAGCGTTTTTAATTTTATTGAATTTTGACTAATTTACATTTAAATAGCCACATAAAGCTACTGGCTATTATATTGGATGGTGCAGGTCTATATGTCTGCCCTCTGATTTTATTACTTGTAATTTGTTAAAGAAAGCAGGTTATTTATCTTGCAGGTTCCTGTAGCTGGATTTTTGCTGACGGTATCCCCACAATGTGCTCCTCTCAGCCATACTGGTGCTGTAAGTTGATAGCTAAATAAAGATGCTTGGTCAGATTCTGACTGGAATTTTTAGTTGGTTGGTTGTTCTGGCAAGATAGTTTTATGGATAGTGGTTTATTTTTCTATCAGAAGGCACCTGATTTCTGGTGGGATTATACCCACTAATTCATTAAGGGGTCACAAAATGATGACATTCTATTTCTCTCACTTCTTCGTTTCTTAGCTGAATACTCTCAAGCATTTTTAAAAACCTCAGTTTTAAACTTGGTAAAAAAGGCAAACAGCCCTGTCATTATACAATATTACTGGCATGATACTGTGAAAAATAGCTTATGAATTACATCGGTAGCTTCTACTGATACAAAATTTGTCAAACTGTTTACTAAAGAAGTTCCAGTTTTCAAATAACTGTATTTATTATTGAGAATTGCTACATTCTACTCACAACCCTGCACCTCAGAGTCCCCAAAACTGTGTATTCCCAACTCCATGTTTCTGGCTTTCTGCTGTTTGTTATCATTTCCCAAATTCCTTACTTCTTTCAGATCTGAATATATCCTTTCTGTCAGTACCACATGTACACCACTTGGTGTCTCTATATTCTCAATAGTAAAGTTTCTTCTCTAATTTTTTTTTTTTTTTTTTTTGTACCAGGGATCGAACTCAAGACCTTACGCTTGCCAGGTAGGCACTGTGCTGCTGAGCTAAATCCCTGGTCCTCTTCTCTAATTTATATCCAATAGTTCCAGTATTTAGTGGCCTGGCCCAATGGGCATAACTGGAATGGGGACAGAGGGTGGACAGAAAGAATAGTTCAACTATGCTCTAAATGCTGTTCAATTTGAAGTAACTCTCATAATTTAAAATTATGCATTTTTATATTACTATGTAACAGGGAAGAATCTAAATTATATTTCTTCAAATGTCAAAATACACCTCTTTGTGTCACTTCAATGTTTTGGAAATTTGGATGCATTTTATGCCCAAAGGAACAACTATTTTTGACCTACTGAGCAAACAAAGCTATCTCCTGCCCTCTCACCCGTGCTTCCACTATCCTTAATTACTGATTTTCTTATCTAATTCTCCACTAGATAAGAAAAGGTTGTTGAGTTTTAATCTACTTTGTACCCTAGGCATTTAGTCCAGTGCCTGAAATAAATTAGGCGCTTAATGACAGAATTCTGCCCCCACTCCCCACCCCTGTACCAGGGATCGAACTCAGGACCTTGCATTTTCCAGGCAGGCTCAGTGGCGCCACTGAGCTAAATCCTGGGCCCAGTGATATAATTCTGATTGGAAAGATATAATTTCTTCAGGAAGAAATTAGCAGGTTTCACTATCTTCTCATCACCTGACTTTGCCTTGGTCGCCTCTCTAAACAGAATGAGCACAATTATCTTTAAATTCTTTTTATGTCTTTTAAAGAAGGCCCTGTGTTCTCAGTGCATTGTCTGTGCTTGAAAAAAATAAATCTTGGATTAATATTGCATGTCTAGAGAAAATTTAAAGAGCCTTAATTGTAGTTTGAAATTTTAAGCAAAGCAGACAAATTTGAGAAGACTGAGAAGCTCTGATTCTTTTTCATTTTTATTAATCATGTTTGCTGTACATAATGATTACACTACTTGTGGGGACTTGGTACACGTACATAACACATCTTTTTTTCTTTTTTTTTTTTTTAGGTATCGGGGATCGAACTCAGGTCCTTGCGCTTGCACAGCAGGCGGCCCACTGAGCTAAATCCCCACCCCGGACATCTTAATTCTTTTTTGTTCTCTTCCCCTCCCCTCCCCTCCTCCCATCTCTTGATCCCTTCCCAATTTGAGAAACATCTACTTCCTATTATCTTTTATTTATATTTTGGGTTTCTTATATAAGAGAAACCACATATTTAAGCTTGTGTGCCTGATTTATTTCACTTAACATTATGGTCTCAAGGTGCATCTATTTTTCTACAAATGGATTAACAGCTATGATTCTGAAATTCAGCTGACCTCCGAGGAGGTTGTGGGGCCACAGAGTTCATTTGACTAAGGTGTCTATAAACGTAAAGCTACATGCAAGAAGAGTCAGGGCAGAGGAATTACCCAAGGCAAAAACCTCCAGAAGACAAAGAACTCAACTATCAGAATATTGAGTAGATTTTAAGTATTAATGAACTCACCCTGGGCTCCTCACCAAAGTAGCCCCAACAGAGAGCAGTGGATGTCTACCCAGGACAACTGGAGGTAAAGACTGGGAGGACATTGTCCTCCTCCAGGTTAAAAGTTTCAAGTTTCCTTGTTAAAAATTTTTTGTGAATTTTAAATTCTACTAAGTGTCTGTGTTTAATACAAAATGTTTTCCCTGGTCTAATTCCTCTAGTAAAATGGAAACTCTGGTAATCCTGGGTATAGACGACCTCTGAGCAAACTCTTTTAGGGGGTACAGATATCAGAGCTTGGGAGGTTATACGGTGACCCACAGTGTTTTCTTGCTTAGACTTTCTGCTTTCCTCTGTAGTTTCCTTCCCTGGCTTTTCTATACAGCGTGAGTTTTCAAACTAGGAGTTGTGAAGCTTTGAGCAGATTAAAGGAGCTGAAACAGAGTTCATCTGCTATACCTCCTCCCTTTCTTTTAAGATGTGCCAAGATGTTCAGATAAATACCAAAGAGTGCAGTGAGAAGGCAAGTTGCAATCCTCTTGTTCTCTCTTATGTTAAAGGAGAGGTGCTCTAGGAAGATGTAGTGTGGTATAGTAAATACATGCATGGAGGTGACAACCATTGTTGATGGGCATCATACACATGAAAATGTGTGCCTTTCTATCTAATACTACTGTCTTGAGTGGCCACAAAGGGAAAGACCAGTGTTAAGTAAAAGAAAAAGCTTCCTGAGCCCAAAGACAGAAAAATATAGACAACAGAAGTTAAGAGATTTGAAGTCTCTTGGGGGTATAGACAGAAATTTGCCCAACCTGTCAACTAATCCTGTTGGGGACACAATCCAGTATGCAGGGGAAGAGAGACATGACCTTTTGGGGTCCTACTAAAAACATTTGATGGGAAATATGAAATGCAAAGGATTGGTGAGCTCATAGTAATTTCCCTTAGGAAACCATCCTTTCCTACCGACACAGATACTTTTACATAGGTGCTTAGCCAGTATCTGCTCACAATTCAGACACCACCCCGATTCACCTGGAAACATGATTCACAAATGCCCTATAATTAGAACAGTACCTTTTGAGAACACAAAATGTTCCCACTAACGTAGAAAAAGGGTGAACTATTTTTGAAATCATGGTAAAAATCAGACGTGAGAACCAGCTTTAAACCTACTCAGTGAATCAACAACTTCCCGCAGTCATAATTATTCATCCTCCTAGATAGCTTCAAACTTCTACAGACCAGGAACTGTCTTAGATTTCTTCTTTATCACCAATGGGAAGACTCTGGGGCTGGACATGTAGCTAAAGTCAATATGTACTTATTAGCCTAACAGGAAAAGGAAAAAGGAAATGGGATATTATCATTTGTTTATTTGCGTTTTTTTTAATTGGTGTTTTGTTTTGTTTTGTTTTTTGTTTTGGTACTGGGGATGGAACTCAGTACCTTGTGCTTACCAGGCAGGCTCTGTGCCGCTGAGCTACATCCCCAGCCCAAGGAATTTTGAAGTTAGGTTACCACTACTATCATGAATTGTGCCCTGCCCAGTCCTACTGTTCTTTAAACTATTCCCTGATTTGTGTATCTGTCACTCAAAGGATCACAAATAAACTATGTGGGATGACCAGGCTCTGCCAATTACATCTTAATTTACCACCATTAGGTTTACCACTGACTAGGCAATAAAACATTACCATGGCACCACTGAAAAATCACCACTAGTCCCTCCTGGAGAGAAGGAGCTAGAAGGTGGAAAGGAATTTGGCTCAGGCATGCATTAAGTGATTGGAACCGCATGCGGCAGCACCTTCAAATTCCCAGACCCCAGCCAATTGCTGTGATTAGGCTGTGCCCACAGTCAGGCTTGCTCCTTCCTGGTCTTTTTTTTTTTTTGGTACCAAGGATTGAACTCGGGTTCTTGCGCTTGGGAGGCAGGCCCCAGAACCACTGAGCTAAATCCCCGGCCCCTCTTTCCTGGTCTTCTGAGCAGCATTTCTCTTGTCATTTCCTAACTGATGCTGAAAGGCTCTCATACTGAGGCAGGTTCGGTATATCTGACTGTCTAAAGGGGGATAGTTCCAGGTAGTGAAGGTTGTTGGTTACAAGGACCTTGAGCATCTCCTTACTGTGAGAGCTGTAGGAGCTGATCTGTTCTCTAATTTTTTTCTTTTTTCCTTTTTTTGGCTGTCTTACCTCTCATGGCACACATATACTCTCAACCTCCCACTCCCACCATTCCTACATGCTAGAATATAAACCATACATAGACAGCGAAACCTCATTTTCTCACTGCTGCACTGTATCCCAGTGCCTAGAATATTTCCTGGCACATGGCAAGTGCTCAATAAATACTGGCTGAATACTGTGAACTGGTGAAGAGTCTTACTCATATGAGCTGGCTCAGCCAGTGTCTTGCTTCAAGGCAGGGGCAGGGCTGAGGCCTCATTGGCATTTCTTCGGCATCAAGATTCTGGGAGTCCACATGTTGAGACTCATGTTAGTCTGAGCTGGCAGCTGCTTTGCAGAAGGGAGAAAAGGAAATTACTGGGCAGATGGGGTGGGGGAGGGGCAGGGAGCTGGTGAGCAGCAAAAGCATCACATAAAAGGAAGGGAGTGGTTGCTAATGGGGTATGACAGAGCAGGGGGTGTGGGAGGAACATGGATACAGCGATGCCTTTTTCTCCAGGACAAAGAGAGCAGTGATGCAGAGCACGGGAAAGAGCACCATTTGAGTCAGCCGAAGCAGTGGTCCACACAGCATGGCATGCTGGCCCTGGGAAAAGAAGGCTCAAGTAAAGCCAGAATTAAATCTGAAAACAAAGCTCATCCAAGCAGCAGAAGTGCTTTACCTGCAGGCTTTAGGAGCTTAGCAGACTTTCAAACTCTGAGGTCAGAGGCATAGGCAAAGAGATCAGTGACTCCTTGTTTTTAACAAAAAATTCCTCGAAGAGATCCCTTAAGACCATTTAATCACAGGTCATGCCCAAATTATGACAATGAGTATTCTGGCTGCTTATGCTACTGAGGAATGGCACCTTGTCATCCTCATGGACATCACTGGCTCACAGGCACAGTCACTTTGTCACTGAAAGACACCAGAGTCCCTGTCTCAGTCCATGCAGTGGTCACACAGAGGTACAGCCAGCTCCATACTCACCCCCCGCCCTGGCACAACTCTGATAATCCACAGGTCCAGACCTGGACACAAGCACAATAAATTACATCTTCACTACAATTATCTTTGAATGAAATTTTAAATGTTCTCTTACCTTCCGGGAAAGAAAGCCTGGTATTTTCTAGAATAAGATACCACTCAGAATTGAGTCACTATTTCTTTTCCTGTTTAAAAATATATACTTTGGGGGCCAGGGATTTAGCTCAGTGGTGCTGGTACTATATATATATATATATATATATATATATATATATATATATATATATATATACACACACACACACACATACTTTGGGGGCTGGGGACGGAGTGCTTACCTAGCATGTGCAAGGCCTGAAACAAAACAAAAAACCTTTTGTCATTGGTAACAAAGCACCAGAAGTTATATTTTTCTGAAACAATACTTTGAACTTTCTCATTCAAATTTACTTTTTTTAAGATGATGATGTTGTTGGTCATAACTGAGTTAAGCAGAAAGCGGTATGATTCCACTATGCTAGATGGCAGGAACCAGAAGAGCTTTCTTTCTTTCTTTAATGAGTGTAGATCAGAATTCTTCAGCAGCAAAGATAGAAGAAGTGTTTCTAAAAACAGGACGGACAAGGGCATAGGCATAGAGCAACAGGGGGAAAATGTGGCTGGCCAAGAACTGCAGCCTTGCTGGTGGGAGCAACACCATGGAGAAAGCGATGTCTGGTTCCACTTGCAACCAGATCCATTTCCAATTTGCTTAATGAATTGTAAGTGGTGGACCTAACAACAACAACAACAACAAAAAACCTTTTGGCCTTTACATTATTTTAATATCTAGCAAGTAACAGACTTAGAAATAGAAATTTAAGACTTAGAAATAGCATCCTGCCTGGATTAAGATCACTGCACCTGGTACATTCTCTAGTTCTGTAAAGTTCTTAAAGTAAGAATAAGAAGCAGAATCTGCATAATAAATCCCTGTTACTGGGCAGTAACACGAAGATGAGAAATTTCCCTCATCCTCAGCAGGCTAAGCAGTCTGTTTAAGAAATGAACTAGAAGACAAGCTCACACATAAACCTACAGACGAATCTTGCAGGAAGCATATACCCTCCAATGAAAGATAACCTTTTTGACCTGCTCTGTCCCAGCTGAAGCGGATCAGATCACAAATCTGCCCAAGGTTGTTTCTTCTAATATATCCGGGTGGGGCACAGGCGACAAGGTGGAGGTGGGCCAGCTTTTATTTTTTAAATCATTTATTATCTTGGTTCTGTGGATAGCTACCACTGCACCTCCTCTACCTCTTAAAACCCTTCCTGGCACTGCCTCTCTGAGAATGAAGGGGTCTGGAAGCTGGACATTTTCCCCCTCACCTAATCCTGCCCCTACTCCCCTTCCCAGGCAGCAACACAGCAGCTGGAGCCCAAACATGGCCCATACTCCGGGCGGGAGCAGCAAGGGCCAAGACCTGGAGCCTTTCTTTATCCAAATGCACTAGAGATTTAATTTTGATTAACCCTAAGAGCTATGGCCCAGAGGATTGAATTTTTTAAATAGAGCAATGCTCACTTTGTATTATTTATTTTTTGCATGTCCTTTTCCCTTCCCCAAATGATATCGGAAATTTTTTACATTAAAAACAAAATTTTTAATGAAGGAGGAGTCTCACTCACACGTGCCAAGGAACCGACGCCCACGGAGGATGCAGACTAGGAGAGGCGGCCACCAGGGAGCTGTCTAGCCTGGGAAGAGGCAGCGCTGCCGCCTCGGGGGGCAGGGCCGAGAACAGGGCGGCCCAGCCGGTCACGTGGGCGCAGACCCGTAGCCCCGCCCACATCTGCAGACTCTTTAGACCTCCACCAGCCTCGGTCTGCTCACTCTGAAGCGCAAGGCGATGGGCTCTTGGAAGAAAGGCCAGAGCTGCTTGGTTCCCGGCTTGCTGCAGAACCATGCGGCCATTGTGACCGGCGGGGCCACAGGAATCGGAAAAGCCATCGCCAAGGAGCTCCTGCACCTGGGTACGAAGCAGACTTAGGCGGGGGACCAGAGTCCGCAGAGGGCTGGCTGTGGTCACGTGGGTTCCCGTTTAGGGGTGCTGGCGAGGCTAAAGTAAAGTGGGATGCGGAGCAAAGGGGAAATCAGAAATCCTACAGAAGCTTTTGTTATGCCCAGATCGCGAAGTCCCAAAGACTACCAGGAAGCCGATTCCGATGTAAGCACACGAGGGCCGTTTATTCAAGCTCGAGCAGGGGCTCCCAACCGCCACCGACGCAGCGGATCAGAATTGAGAGCCCCGAATTTCAAATTAGCGGGATTTTTATTGTGGTTACAGCAAGGTTTGGAGATTTTTCACTTAGCAGTTACATGATTGGTTGGCATTTAGCAAGCATGAAGTGTATGTTTCTGATTGGCTAGGCCCATCGCGGGGTTTGAGGGGCGGTTACATGTAGGTTTTACGGGGGAAAAGAGGGACAAAGGTGGTCGACTGTCGCATACTGGTGGTCAGCACATTGACAGATTGTTCTATAGATAGTGGACCCGGAACGTTCATTTCCTGGGCAAACAGTTGGTTGAGTAATTAATTTAGGAACTTTGCTTCGTTACAGATTGTGTCTTTTGTCCCAGAGCAAGCACATTTTAACCATTAATTTGTGAGACACTAGGGGAGTGGTGCATTTTAGCAAAATGGAGTCGCTTTGGTCTCACACTTTGGCAGATGAGCCACTGAATAGAAGGTCAAGGGGCTGAGAGCCAAAGATACTGTGCCCGGAAACACGCCGGGAATTGCAGGCTCTTATTGAAATTAGTCCATTCTAAATGCTGCCCAGACCTACAAATTAGGAAACACGTGGAGACTTCCTTTACCTAGAAGAGACTGTTACCCCACCACCACCACCCCGCCCCGGGAGACTCGAATCTTACTATCTTCTCATCTCTTGTTAAAACCAGCAAGAAAATAGAGTGAATATTTACCTTCCGGCGGGTGGAGGAAGGAGCTTCGAAAACATACACAAGGAAGAAAGCCACAGAGGGGAACATAGTTAAATTTACCTCTATGAAAATATAAATCTTCAATGAGTTAAAAAAAAGAATGACATTTGAAGGTATATGAAGAAAAATATTTACAACATAAGAAAAGTAGTCTTAGGGCCGGGGATTTAGCTCAGTGGTTTCGCCGTCTGCTGTGCAAGCTCAATGACCCGAGTTCGATCCCCAGTACCAAAAAATAAGAAAAAGAAAAGTAGTCTTATTACATAAAAAGCTTTCGCAAATAAATCAAAGAACCACGATATGTACCAATATAAATATAGGCTGGGGCCGGGGATTTAGCTCAGTTGCCCCACCACCTGCCTTGCAAGCACAAGGTCCTGAGTTCGATCCCCGGTACCGAAAAAAAAATATGTGTGTGTGTGTGTGTGTGTGTATGTGTGTATAAAACATCCCAAAAGACTAACTACATATAGACAATAAATTTTTAAGAAAACAATCAACTTTATTGGTGATAAATACAAATAAGATATCATTGTTTTTATAACACAACTTAAAAACATTGGGGGAAATTTAAGTGCTGATAAGAGAATGAAAAAGGCAGAAAGGAATATAAATTATTACCTGCCTGATGGGCAAATTGGAAAAAAAAAAATCCAGAATCCTTTACAGTGTTCATGTTCTATGACCTTTTTCAAGATGTTACTTACTCTAAGAGAATGGACAAGCAAAGATTTGTATACAAGAACATAGTGTTATTTGAGTAGTGAAAACAGAAATAACCTAAATATCCATTATGAGGGAAACAGTTAAATCAATAACAATGAAATATTATGCACACATTTCAATATCTTGCTCCTGGAGACTTTATGTGGAGAAATGCATATCCTGTAATTGAAAAAAGTGAGATTCTAAAAAAATAATACTTTATTTTGCTAATGAAAATATATATATATGGAGAAAAGGACTGGAAGAAAGTTTATAACATTAACAATCTTTCTAAAATTAATTCTGTTTTTCTTTCTTTTGTTCGTGCCACTGGGGATTGAACCCAAGGACTTCTGTATGCTAGAAAAGTGCTCTACCACTAAGATACAGCTTTGGCTCTTAAAAATTTTTTTTATTTTGAGATAGGATCTTGTTATTTTGTCCAGGCTGACCTTGAACTTAAGATCTTCCTGCTTCAGTCTCTGAATACCTTGGATTATGGGTCTGTGCCACCTTGCATGGCTCAAATATTTTTTAGGTAAACATGTTCTAGAAACAAAAGAAAGCAATAGAGTTGCTAAAAATTATAGGTAAATCTGGCATATTGAATTATTTTTTGAAGTTAGCCTTATCTTATTAGGAAATCAAGGCAATGTTTCTCATGCTTGCCTTAAAAAACCCTCTCAGATCACCCATTAGAATTCTGGAGTTATCACCATTTGGAGTTTATTAAGTTGTAACCTAAACTTGAAAAATAGTTTTTTAATTTAAAAATTTTAATTTTCGAGGTTTTTTGTTTTGTTTTTTTGTTTGTTTTTTGGGGGGGTTGGTGTGTATGTTTCGGGGGTTTTTTTGTTTTTGTTTTTGTTTTTACTGGGATCAATCTCAGGACCTTGCACTTGTGAGGCAGGTATGGCGCCACTCAGCTAAATTCCCAGCCCAAAAGACTGAGACTGTTTGGTTTAGTTTTGGTTTTTGGCGGGGGTTTTTTTATTGTTTTTTTCTTTCTTTTTTTTTTTTGGTACCAGGGATCAAACTCAGGACCTTGTGCTGGCCACAGGACCACTGAGCTAAATCCCTGGCCCCGTTTCTTTGTTTTTTGAGATAGGGTCTCACTCTGTTGCCCAGGCTGGTCTCAGTCTTCCTGCCTCAGCCTCCTGAGTAGCTGGGACTACACATGCCTCACCTTGCCTAGCTAAAAAAAAGTAGTTTTAAAAGTGCTTTATTTTTGGGCCAGGGATTTAGCTCAGTGGTTCTGCCACCTGCCTCACAAGCACAAGGTCCCAAGTTTGATCCCTGGTACCAAAAAAAGAAAGAAAAAAAAAGTGCTTTATTTCAAGATGCAGTGGCCACCTCATCCTACACCACTAAAATAGTTCTGGCCAAATGAAGAGCCATGTTCTTGATGGCCTTCGTTAACGTCATTTATGCCTTCAGCATGTGACTGTTGGAGTAGACTGTATGATAGCATAACAGTTACAGCAAGGACTGTTAAGTAAACAGGTAAGTACAGGATGAGACAGCTCGGGGTTAAATGCTGTATGAGGGTGAAGACAGAGATATAGGAGCATGTAGAAGGATCAGAGAACCTAAGGGAGAGGGAAGAGGGTTAGCAGGGTTTTCAGAGGCAGTGAGCTCTTCCATCTCTCTACTTCAAGGCTGACTGAACATCTGCAGTGTAACATCTGGCATATATAAGACATGAATGTTTAACCTTTTTTTTGGTACCAGGGATCAAACTCAGGACCTTGCTCTTTCGAGGCAGTTGGTGGAACCACTGAGCTAAATCCCTGGCCCAATGTTTAACCTTTTAAGAAACTACCAAATAGTCTGTACCAATATATCCTTGGGGAATTGACTCCTGTCTATGGAATATACCTTTTTATCCCTGGGGAAATTCTTTGATCTGAAGTCTACTTTGTCCAGCATTAATATACCCACTTGAGCTTGCTTTTGACTGGTGTTAGCAGGGTTCATCTTTTTTTCAATCTTTTACTTCTAAATCTATGTGTTTCTTTAACTTTTGGTGTGTTTCTTGTAGGCAATACATAGTTGGATCTTGCTTTTTCATTCTTAAAGTTTGTGTTGTTAAGTTGGGTGTTTAGACAATATTTATGCCATGTGAGTTTCAGTATAGTTGAATTTAAATCTATGATATTGTTATTTTTATTCTATTTCTCCCATCTGTTCTTTGTTCCCATTTCGTTTCCCTTGTTTTCTGCTTTCTTGTGCAATATTTAGTATTTTTAGTTTTACCATTATCTCCTTTTTTTAAACTTTTGACCTATAAAGCATCTTTATTTTTAAGATGTGGGTTAGGGCTTTATTGTATACTTATTAGGCTTATCAGAGTGTATCTTCTACTTTACACAGAATGTAAAAGCCACTAAACAGTTTATAGGTATTCCTGGCTTTGCATGGCATTTGTAAAACCAGACAATAATTAGTTCAAATTGAAACCATGCAAAGCAAACTTAGTAATCAGTGGGGGAAATTACAACTGTTTCATGATTTTTAAGAATTTTTGTCAGAGCGTTAGAAATTCTTATACTATCAGTTATAAATGTATGAGGAAATGAAACAAAAACTAGTAAAACTAGACCAAAGCAGTTTGGTGAGGAGAGATTGTTGAAAAGGGTACAAAGTTTCACTTAGACAGAAGGAGTAAGTTCTGATGATCTGTTACACAGCATGGTGACTATAATGAAAGGTAATTTATTATATATTTCAAAATTACTAAAAGAGTGGATTTTGAATGTTCTTACTAGAATGAAGTGGTATGGAAGGTGAGATATGTTACATAGCTTGATTTGATCATTCCACAGTGTGTACATGTATAAAAATATCATATTGTACCTCATAAAGGATGTATAATTATTTATTAAATGAAAATAAAATTTAAAAATAGTAAAATAGGGCTGGGGGTTTAGCTCAGTGGTTCCAGCGCCTGCCTCACAAGTGTAAGGTCCTGAGTTCGATCTCCAGTACCAAAAATAAAAATAAATAAATAAAAATAGTAAAATAATATCTTCACTACACTGTAATTAAAATGTTATCAATATTAAGTATTAAAATATTTTATTTCTATGTGAAAAACTTAGCAAGAATAGTCTGAATACAAGAACACACAAAATACTGTCTATACAATATTATTGTTGCAATTTGCACAATTCCTGAATGATACTTGTTTTCTGCCTCTTTGCTTCACAGGGTGTAATGTGGTCATTGCATCCCGTAAATTTGACAGACTAAAATCTGCTGCAGAAGAACTAAAAGCCACTCTGCCTCCCAGCAACAAGGCTCAAGTCAGTCCCATACAGTGCAACATCCGGAAAGAAGAGGAGGTAATCCACATAGCTGTACCATTTACTACTCAAGCTCATTTATAGAACCTGGTTGGGCCTCAGGTTCTTCTGGGGTAGCTGTCTTAGATGAGAATCACTAGAAACAGACTGTATGCAGACTGTTGTGCTAATGATTTATTGAGCAAGTGGCTTAAGGAGAAGAGGAGGGAGGGAAGGAAGACAGAAGCAACAAGCAAGGACGAGATCTCAGCTAGAGACTTCTTTCTGTGTCTTTTGCCCTATAAGACATTTCTTGGTTTGTTTTGGGTTTTTTTTGGTACCGGGGAATGAACTTGGGACCTTGCACCTTCACAGGCAGCAGAACCACTGAGCTAAATCCCCGGCTATAAGAGATTTCTTAATGTTCATTTTGACCTGATTCATCATTATCCATTATTTGAGGTTGGTACTTGCAAATTAATACACTTAGAAGAGTTCTAGACTCTTGGATGTAGCATGTCATCAAAAGTACAATTTTAGCCTCATGACCAGTGGGTATTGAACATTAGGAAATTACTCATTGGTATAAATTTTTTAGGTTTATTCATGTTGACTTCATATTTATGGTTGTAGTACTGAGTTACTGTTCACTGTGAGTGACTGCAAGCTCAGTCCACCCGATAGAACATGTGATGGGTCTAACTAGCAAGTTAGGTTATTAAACATTTAATGTGTTTCTTTTTTTTTTTTTCGTACCGGGGATCGAACTCAGGTCCTTGCGCTTGCACAGCAGGCGGCGAAACCACTGAGCTAAATCCCCTGCTTTAATGTTTTTCTTTAGGTGAATAATTTGGTGAAATCTACCTTAGCTCTTTATGGTAAGATTGATTTCTTAGTAAACAATGGTGGTGGCCAGTTCTTGTCTCCTACTGAAAACATCAGTTCAAAGGGATGGAATGCTGTGATTGAAACCAACCTGACAGGTACCTTCTATATGTGCAAAGCAGGTAAGTATCATAATATCTACCAAATCTTCGTGTCTTTACTGAGACACTATAGAGAATACAGAAAAAGAGACTATTGGGGGCACTGTCTCAATTACTTTCTTGTTTCTGAGAGACAATACTCAACAACCACAACTTAAAGGAGAAGTGTTTCTTTTGGCTTGTATTTCAGACTATAGTTGGGTGGCTCCAAGATAGGACAGCATGACACAGAGGCATAGAAGACAGGAAGCAGAGAGTCACAAGAGGAGCCTGGAAGGCACATATACCCTCTGGGTCATGCCTACAGTGATATGCCTCTTCTGAGCAACCGCACCTCTTACCAGCAAACCAGCTGTAATGCCTTCATAATCCATCATTTCCCAAAAAGACCCACCTAAGATTGCATGAGGCTTTCAGGAGCATAAGCCATAGCATTTCGCCCCTAGCCCCCAAAAGACTTATGTGCATCTCTTTATGCAAAATGCATTTAGTCCACAAGTCTTCCGAGACTCAAAGCAAACTCTTAGCTGTGAGCCCTGTGAAAATAAAAAAAACTGTTTAACACTGCTGACATACAAAGGCCCAGGGTAAGAATTCCCATTCCAAAAGGTAGGAGTAGAAGCACAGAAACCAATGGGACCAAAGCAAGACCCAAACCCAACAGGGCAAACATTAAATCCTATAGCTCTATATTCTGCACCCAGGGCAAAGTGTACTGAGATGAGAACTCCAAAGTGCTTGGGCAGCATTGTTGGTGATTGTAACCCTCATGGCTTCTTTCTTGGGCTGGCTTTGCTCGCTCCTTGTGGCTTTCCTCAGATCTTCATGCTTGTAAAATCAGCACCACTTGGATGATGCCAAGGTCTGCTGCTGGCTCCATCGTCACAATAACCCCCATCTTTTGAACAGACGCCACCTCTTAACAGCCAATCAGCTATAAGCCTCATAATCCAATCACCTCTCAAAAGCCCAACCTATCTAACCCTAACAAATGTTTTCCCTTTCAGTCTATGTACTTCTTGGATGAGGTGAGTTTCGTATAGGAAATACATGCATATGTATTTTTTTGTTGTTAGTCTCATTTTAAGTACCAATCTCAATCTCAAATACACACTGAATACTAACATTCCTATAACTCCCTAGTAGGTTTGCTCTTGGAAATCAGTATTTTAAACCTTTTCCCTTACACCCCCAGTTTAAACTCCCTTTACTGCATTCTTAGAACTTGTCTTTATTGAGAAAATGAAATCCATCACAGGACAACTTCCTGTTCTTTCCACCAACAGTTCACTAGCTTATTTACATCTGAACCTGTTCCACTGCCTTTTCTCATACTAAACTATCTCTATTCTGGGTTAAATCCTATCTATATGTTCTAGATTACATTTCCTCTCACCTGAAAATGTTTCTTCTACAGTTGTTTGAGCTGCTGTAAGAAAACACATTAGACTAAATAATTTATGCCGGGGATTTAGTTTAGTGGTTCCACCGCCTGCCTCGCAAGCTCAAGGATCCAAGTTCAATCCCCGGTACCAAAAAAAAACCAATAAAAATTTATTTCAACTTTTTTATTTGTACCAGGAATCAAACTCAGGGCCTTGCACTTGCCAAGCAGGTGCTGTGCCTCTGAGCTATGTCCCCTTTATGTCAACTTTAGATTTAGCACTTCTGGGCTTGGTACCTGGTCTGGATCTGCCTGGCTTGAACCATGGCATATTTCACCATCAGTAGTTGATTTGTTGGCTGGGAAGTCCAAGGTCACTCACTGTGTATTGTGGGCCACACTACTGTATCCTCATAAGGCAGAGAGGCAAATGCTGTGGCCGTACATAGCAGGTAATCTGTCATGTCATGTCATAGCAGATGTTTCATATATGCAAGATGAAAAGTATCCTATTACTATTATAGCTGAGACTCAGGACAACTAGATCAAGATAACCTCAAAGCAAGCCTTAGACCCTACTCTTCTAAAGCCACATCTGCTTTCTGTTATATACATCATGCTACTTCAGAACCCACCAAACAATAATTTCAAACTTTGTAAAAGAACTGTTGATCCAGAAAGTAGAATGGAGGTTGCAAATTGCTAGGAATGGGAGAATGAAAAATAATTGCTTTGTGGGCAGCTTTCATTTTGTGAGATGAAAAGAGTTCTGGAGGTGGATGGTGGTGATTGTGTATAATAATATGAATGTTCTTAAAATTTTAGCACTGAATTGTTCACTTGAAATGGTTGATACTGTGTGTATTTACCACAATAAAAGAAAATTGGAAGAACAAAGAATGCTTAATCAACTTAGACTGTGGGGTTCATCCTTTTTATACATTAGAAAAATGACATTCTAGCTTTCTCCAAATTATTTCATGTTACAATTGCTGTGATTTCTTCTCATCTTTGCAGTGGCTTATGAACCTTCCATTAGGAAAAGTTCTTCTTACATGTCTGTCTTTCTTCTCCATTTGTTCCTGGGGGTTGTTTGGCCTCTCTCTTGATTATCTGAAGATATAACTCCATCTGAGCCCTGGGAACTTGTCAAACAAAGGCAGTTTCAGAGCTGTGAACTATATGGTGGTATTTATCCATAAGGAGGAAATCTACATTGGGTAATTGAAATAAATGTTTTCTCCTTTCTTATACTGGAATCAAATGATTTTACTAGTTTTTAATATTTGATTTGAGAAACAGTGTTTTGTATCTTTTCAGCTCCAAACTTACCTTGACAGTTCACCACCATGTATTTTTTTTTTTTGGTACCGGGGATCGAACTCGGGTCCTTGTGCTTGTGCAGCAGGCGGTGAAACCACTGAGCTAAATCCCCGGCCCACCACCATGTATTTTTTCAGATGAATTTTATATTAAACTTTCTACCTCCAAAATCATGTTAGGGAATTTGATTGAAATTGTGTTGAATTTAATTTTAAAATAATCGACACATTTAAATGTCCAGTCTCCCCACTGTTGTGTGTCCTTTTATTAATGAATTATTCTTTCATATCCTTTGACAGAGGTTTGTGTTTGTTATCATACAGATCTCACATTTTTCAAGTTATACCTAGGTACTTTTATGACTATGACTATTTTGAATGGGCTCATTTTAATTATTTTTCAGCTGGGTTTATTACTGTTGGTTTATTGAAGAATTTCTTTTAAAGCTCATCTTGTAACTTTACTTGATGATTTCCATCTTTATCTAATGATTTTTCAATTAGCCTCTGAGCATTCTGTATACAGAGCACATTGTCTAAAAATGATCATTGTATTTTGTTGTGTTAAAGACAAAATCAATTGTGAAATGCACCAGCATTCTATGTATCATTAAGAAAGATAGCTGAGCATGGCATGGTAGCACATATAACCAGGGTTATATCCCGGGTTACTTGGGAGTCTGAGGCAGGAGGATCCCAACTTCAAGGCCAGCTTCAGCAGCTCAATGAGAGACTGTTTCAGAAAAATTTTAATAAGGGGCTGGGGATGTAATTCAGTAGTAGAGCACTTGCCTAGCATGCACAAGGCTCTGGGTTCAAATCTCAGTATTACAAGAAAGAAAAAAAGAACAGAGGGAGAGAAGGAAGGAAGAGAGAGAGAAAGGGCCATGGATTTAGCTCAGTAGTTCCTCCACCTTCCTTGCAAGCACAAGGTCCCAAGTTTGATCCCTGGTACCAAAAAAAAAGAAGGAATGCAATTAACTAAAGAACTATAAGACTTGTATGCCAAAAAATACAAAACAATGCTGAGAGAAATTATAGAAGGTTTAAACAATGTACAGTCATTCTATGTTTCTGGAATGTCAGGCTCAATATTGTTAAGATGGTAGTTCTTCCCAAATTGATCTGTAGGTTCAGTATGACCCTTATGAATTTTTTCAGACATTGCCTAGCTTATCTTAAAATATATATGGAAATACAACCCAGATACAGTAATGAAAAACCATTTGGGCATATACTTCTTGCTTTCAAAGCTACTTCTTGAAGACAGTGTGGTTTTGGCATAAGTGTAGATAATCAACACCATTAGTCATTATGGAAATCAAAACCCCAGTGAGGTACATCTGTATACCTACTATAGGAACTATCAAAAAGTCAGACAGTAATAGTGCAGAGAAACCAGAACCTGCATACATTTCTAGTAGGCGTTTAAAATGATGGACCCACTTTAGAACAGTTTGGCACTTTCTTCAAAAATTAAATATAGGGGGCCAGGGATTTAGCTCAGCGGCACTGAACCTGCCTTGCAAGTACAAGGACCCAAGTTTGATCCCTGGTACCAAAAAAAAAAAAAAAGTTAAATACAGAGTTGACATATGACCCAGTAAATTCTCTCATAGCTTTATATCCAAGAAAAATAAAAATATATAAGATATGTCCAGACTAAGATTTTTTTTAAGCAAAACCTTTATTGGTACATTTTAGTATACATAATGATAACATTCATCATAAAGTAATTGTACCTGTACATATGACACATCCTGCCTCTTTTTTCCCCTTCCCTCACTCATCTTCCCCTGCTTATTTACAAAAGCTTTGTTTCCATTTTTTCCTTCTATTCTCTTTTTTACCTTGTCCCTTCTTTCCTTTCCCCCTCCCCCTCCCTTGTTCCCTTCTCATTTGAATATTTTCATCCTATTTCCCAATATCTATTATATATTTTGGTCCTTATTTCCACTTTCAGTTTTTCATACCAGAGAATGTGGTATTTAAACATGTGTGTCCGATTTATCTCACTTAAGAGTATGGTCTCAAGGTGCATCCATTTAGCTATAAATGTCTCAAGCTTATCCTTCTTTATGGCAGAGTAGTACTCCATTGTATAAAAAAATTACATCTTCTTTATCCACTCATTACTTGCTGGGCATTTGGGCTGTTTCCAAGATTTAGCTATTATAAGCTGTATTGCTATAAACATGAAAGTGCATATATCACTGTGTTATGGTGCTTTTAATTCTTTCAGAAAGATACCAAGAAGGGGAATAGCTGGGTCAAATGGAACCTCTAGTTTTAGTTTTTTGAGGAATTTTCACACTGATTTCCACAGTGGTTGCACCAGTCTACACTCACACCAACAGTAGAGAAGGGTTTCTTTTTTTCCCACAGCCCTGCAAGCATTTGTTATTAGTTGATTTTTTTGATAACAGCCATTCTTTCTGGAGTGAGATGAAATCTCATAGTCATTTTAATTTGCATTTTACAGGCCAAGGATTTAGCTCAGTGGTTCCAGCACCTGCCTCGCAAGCACAAAGTCCCAAGTTCGATCCCTGGTACCAAAAAAAAAAGTAATTTGCATTTTACAAATGACCAATGCTGTTGAACATTTTTTTTTGGTACTGTGGATTGAACTCAGGACCTTGCGCTGCTTTCGAGGCAGGCGGCGGAACCACTGGGCTAAATCCCCGGCCCGAACATTTTTTTCATATATCTGCTATTTCTACTTCTTCATCTGACAAGTGTCTGCTTTTGGGGGCAGTTTTTTGTTTGTTTGTTTGGTTTTTGGTACCAGGGATCGAACTCAGGTCCTTGCACTTGCAAAGCAGGTGGTGGAACCACTGAGCTAAATCCCTGGCCCACAAACATCTGTTTTGTCTGAGGAACAGCTGGCAAAAGTTTTTTCCCACACTGCGGGTTTTCTCTTCACTCTGTTTGTTTGTTTTTTTTCTTTTTTTGTGCTGTGCAAAAGCTTTTTAATAAGATGAGATCCTAGTTGTTGATTCTTTGTGATATTTCCTGTGTGGTCAGGTTTTGTTCAGAAAGTCTTTGCCTATACCAATGTCTTCAAGACACCTAATCTCTCTTCCAGAAGATTTAGTGTTTCTGTTTTGATGTTTAGATCTTTGAACCATTTCAGTTTTAGTTTAGTGGATGGTTAAAGGTATGGGTCTAATCTTTGGCAAGTTGAAACCCAGTTTTTCCAGCACCATTTATTAAAAAGGCTATCTTTCTTCTAGTGAAGGTGTTTGGCTCCTTTGTCAAAGATAAGGTGGCTGAGTATGTCTGGAGTTATTTCTGCATCTTCTAATCTGTTCCATTGATCCTCAAGTCTGTTTTTGTTTTTGTTTTTTTGCTGTTACCACACTGTTTTGTTTTGTTTTTTGCTTTTTTGGTACCGGAGATCGAACTTGGAACCTTGCACTTTCAAGGCAGGCAGTGGAACCACTGAGCTAAATGCCCAGCCCTACCATGCTGTTTTTATCAGAGTAGCTTTATAGTATAATTTCAAATCAGGGATTGTGATGCCCCTGTCTTGTCTTGGTTGCCAGTATTGCTTTTGGTATTTCTAGTTCTCTTCTGGTTCCAAATGAATTTTAGAATTGTTTTCTCTAATTCTGTGAGATATGCTATGGAATTTTGATTGGAATTGTATTAAATCTGTATAACAATTTTGGAAGTATGGCCATTTTCACTATATTGGTTCTTCCTACCCAAGAACAAGGGATAGCTTTTCATTTTCTGATATCTTCTTCAATTTCCTTTTTCAGAGTTCTGTACTTTTCCATGTAAAGGTCTTTTACTTCCTTCATTAGATTGATTCCTACATATTTCTTTTTTGGGGGATGCTCTTGTGAAAGGTGTTGTTTCCCTCATTTCTCTCTCAGTGAGTTTGTTATTTGGCACACTAAGATATGTATTCATAATCACTCTTAGTGCAAACAATCCAAAAGTTTATCAGCTAGCAAATGGATAAACAGAATATATCTCTACAAGTATTTCTGAGCAATAAGAAGGAACTGTTAACACATTATGGAGGAACCTCACGTGTATTATTCTAAGTGGAAAATGCCAGACACAAAAGATCACATACTGTGTGGTTCAATTTACATAAAGTGTACAGAAAAGTGAAATGCAAAATCTACAGAAATGGAAAAATAAATGATTTCCAGAAATAGATTTGGCTTCAAATAAGTACAAAGGAACTTTTTAGGATGGTTAATATGTTCATAAATAGAATTGGGATGATGGTTGCAAAATTCTGTATATTGTTAAAAATGACTAATCTGTGCATTTACAGTGGATGAATTCTGTGACGTACAATTTTTTTTTTTCTATACGAGGCCAACTGAGGCTCCTTCGATGCAGCCGTATCATTCTGCCTGGTCGGGATTCTGGCTTAGAGATGTTCAGACATAATCCCACAGATGGTAGTTTTGCCCCATTGGCTCCTCAGCCAAGCACATACACCAAATGTCTGAACCTGTGTGTGATGTATAAATTGTATCACAGTCAGGCTTTTTATAAAAAAAATTTATAAATTAAGCCAGACATGGTGGCACATGCCTGTAATAGCAGCTACCCAGAAGCCTAAGACAGAAAGATTGCAAATTTGAGCCCAGCTTGGAAAACTTAGACTTTTTCTCAAATCAAACAAACAGAGGAGCTGGGATGTAGATCAGCATTCCCTACATTCAACCCTAAGTACTGGAAAAAAAAAAAAAAAGTAAACCATAACAAACAAGCAGCTACTGGAACAGGATATTAGGGAAGCAGACTATTTAGTATGATTTTTGTTTGTTTGTATTTTGCAGTTTACAATTCCTGGATGAAAGCACATGGAGGATCTATTGTTAATATCATTATCCTTCTTAGTGGACAACCATTAATGGTGTAAGCAGTTTTATATATTTTTTTCTTGCTATGTCCTTGAGTTTTGTCTCTGAATGAGGTTAAGAGTAGAGGAAAAGGGCCGGGGATTTAGCTCAGTGGTTCTGCCACCTGCCTCGCAAGCTCAAGGACCCGAGTTCAATCCCCGGTACCAAAAAAAAAAAAAAAGTAAAGGAAAAATTGCTTAAGTCAATATGATTAATGCCTTTAATGAGCTGAGACCTCAATACTTAGCATTTCCTTTTATTTGAACCTTAAAACTGTCTTTCTCAAACATGCCAGATTGTCCTAAATCACTCAGAGTAAGGTTACTATATTGAGTGAGAAAGGTGGCAAAACACAAGGTACCCAGAGATTTAATTTTTTAGTATAAATATCTGTAGGATATTGTGTGGAGGATAATTGTGTTAGAAAGTTATTTCTTGTTTACCTCAAATTCATATAGAACTGTATGTCCCATATTTCATCTGGCAACTCTAATCTGGATGTTATTAAACTGTCACCACTGGGGGAGAGCTCCTTTGTTAAGGTCCAGTGGACACAAAATCTATGTTAATTTAGACAACTACTTTGAATATACCTGTTTGATCTTAGAAGGAATGCAAAATTGTTACTCCCAACTGAAAGGCAGAATTATTTACCAATAGTCTATGAGGTTGTGTACTTCTAATTGGCCAGTCGACAAGTAAAGTGCTTGCTTCTTTATACAAATTCCAACAATCTGCTTGCTTCTTGTATTACAGGACTCCCTCAGTTATGTGGGATGGAAAAAAAATTTTAATCTGGCTTAAAAATTGATGTCAGTGTTTCTCCAAGTGTGGGTTCTAGACCAGCAAGATGAGCTTATGGGGATATGTGTCAGAACTGTTTGTCCTCCAGCCCCTCAGGTCTCCTGCATCAAGAGCTGTGGGAACAGTGCCCAGCAGCCCATGTGCCCAAGTCCCCAGGTGGTGCTGGTCAGGCAGAACCACTGAACCAGGGTATGGTGGGCTCAGGCAACCATAGTGGCAGGAACCTGCCTCCTTCTGGTTTGGCCCCAGGCTCACCTTCCTTCTTAGGCAGGCTCTCTGTACATGTGGCCAAAAGAGAGTATCTGTGACATGGAGGTCAACATCTAAATTCTACCTAACTCTGAAATTTGAGAGAACTTTTCAAGTACTGCCTGAAAAATAATAATGGTAATGCCAGTGCCAGCAGTTCCCAGAGAGGATATTCATGAGCTGACTGTGACGGGGTCATGTGTGCAGCCATCAAACAAATGCTATGGGAATGGGGTTGCTCTGCTGTACACAGCCAGCCTGAGGAACTGAGAACAACAAAGTCCACTCAGACATGGACTTGAGGTGATTTCCTCAAGTGGAAATTAAAGTGTTTTATCAAAAGCAGAGTAAAGAATAGAGGCAAGGGCTGGGTATTTAGCTCAGTGATTCTGCCACCTGCCTCGAAAGCACAAGGACCTGAGTTCAATCCCTGGTACCAAAAAAAACACAAAAAACAAAAAAAAACAAGAATAGAGGCAAGGGTGTGCCCTTGAAGAGGATTCTGGGACCCAATGTTTTCTTCCTCTCTTTTGCTTTTGTTTCCTGACCATGAAGTGAGTGATTTTGCAGAAAACAAGGGGGCCAATTAATCATGGACTGAATCCTCTAAAACTGTGAGCCAAAATAAACCCATTCCCTTTATAAGTTGATTATCTGTGTACTTACTATATAAAGTAATGAAAAGCTGAGTAGCAAGATTTTTATGTTAAAATATGTATCATAAATAAAAAATGAAGAATGGTGCGGATCAAGGAAGTAATAATTTGGGGAGCATCATCTACTTGTTTGGGGGGAACATTTAGGCATTCACTTTAGTTCTATCACTTTTTTTACACCAAGTATCTTCAAATAATTAAAATATGTTTGTTGGCTAGTGAATATTGTATAAGATCTGAAACTAAAGAATTTGGATTATCTCTTGAAATTCAACTTCATAGAATATATTATATATTACTCTTATTCTGATTTTGATAAGTTTTTACATGACAATGGATTTTGTGTGTGTGTGTGTGTGTGTGTGTGTGTGTGTGTGGTACTGGTGATCAAATTTAAGACCTTGCACTTGCCAGCCAGATGCGGCGCCATTGAGCTACATCCCCGGCCCATGGATGCTTTTTTAATAACAGAAGTGAAATACCCATTTAATATACTGGCTTAGCTCTCTCATAATAGTCTAAAAGTTTATCGAAATACCACAGCTGGAAAAACAACAACATGTAAGAAATCTACTTGAAAATCATACGTATAGTGATTGAAAAGTGTAATCTAAAAATGTAGTTTTTGATGATTTCTTGGGATCTTTTGTAAATTCTGATCTCTTGGATTTTTTTAGGAAGCCAGAGACTGCATAAAAGGCAGTAGAAAAAGCTTTATTCCATACCCTAAGATATAAGGTACTGAAAAAAATATTATATGAATAATATAGTGATTTGAAAGAAGACATAAAATAGCAGTAGTTTTTAAAACTGAAAAAAATTTCTAAAATATCACTTGAAGATAATCTCTAAAAAGTTATTTAAAGAGGATTTAGTCTGGTGGATGTTTTTGTTGATTTTTTAATGTTACATGTTTTCAACAAAGGAAATACAGATATGCAAAAAAGTCTCATGTTTATGCTTAACACATCCTAGTACATCTTAATCTCTTAAGTTAAAATGTGCAAGTCAGGTGGACAAATAAAAGAAATGACATACATGTATGAGGATATTTATACACTTTTTAAAAAGCAAACGTGGGTTGTTTTAAATACCCTTCTTCTGCTTCCTTTTTAACTTAACATTAATTTATGAACCAATTTTTAAGCAAAATGTATCAAAAGTTCTGCTTCATGGCAAGGTGGTGTCACAAGGACAGGATTTATGCTTTTACTTGAAACAACTATAAAACAGACAAAATACATGAAGCGATGACATTTGAGACACTAGACATTGGCAGCAAAGCAGAGTAGTCTGTGAAACACAGGAAGCAAAAGAGGTAAGCTGTGTGTTTATCCCAGTTTATTGCCTGAAGAACATTTCTGGATCGTGACTTAGAGCAAAGGAACTGAACCAGAGACTGGCAATCTCCCTGTGTCAAGAGAAAGGACCAGGAGATCAAAAAAGCTCCAGAGGTTAAAGTGAGAGAGCAGAGAGCTGTGATAAAAGAGCAGCCTGTAAATGTGTAGAGGTCAGGTCAGCACAGGTGTCTGACAAAATACACGGAGCTGGGGAAAGAACCACCTGAAACAGTGTCCAGCACTCTCTTGGGACCTAGCATAGTGCCTCTTCCCAACAGGAAACAGGAAAACCTCACAACCAGATAAAAGAATGCTGAAAAAGCTGGTACAAAAAAAGGTTTTGTTTCAATAGTGGGGAAAAATATCCCTAAATTAAATGCAGCTCTGTACCTACTAAACAGAGGTCAGAACAAACCTCAACAATATTTGAAGGACTATAAAGGTATCTGACATCCAATAAAAAATTACTAGGTATGAAAATAAGCAGGAAAATACAACTACTGTTGAGAAGAAAAGTCAATCCAAAGAGATTCTGATGTGAACAGATGTTAGAATTAATAGGCAGATAGGGCTGGGGATTTAGTTCAGTGGCACTGCACCTTTCTCGGAAGCACAAGGTCCTGAGTTCGATCCCTGGTACTGAAAAAAAAATAGGCAGAACCTTGAGAGAATTATGGTGACTGTATTCTGTATGTTCAAGAAGCTAATGGAAACTGGAAAATGCTAACTAGCAACAGAAGAGATTTTAAAAGGCCTAAATCAAATATCTACAGATAGAAACTACAGTGAAAAAATGCAGTGGATGGGATTAATGACAGATTAGACATTTCAGAAAAAATAGTGAACCTGAACCTATAGAAATAGAAACTATTCAAAAATTAATCACACAGAGAAGAAAAAAAAAATTACAGAGCATCAGTGAGCTGAGAGATAGTCTTCAAAAAAGAGAAAAGAGAAACAGGGACAGAAAAACATTTTTTGAAGACCTTTTGCCAAAACTTTTTCAAATTTGATGAAAACTAAAACCCTATATAGATCTAAGAAGTTCAACACCCTAAGCACAAGAACATGAAAAACTGCATAGTTTATCATAATCGTATTGCTCAAAACCAGTGGGAGAGAAGCTGTTAAAAGCAGCCAAAGTGGGCTGGGGATGTAGCTCAGTGGCACCCCTCCTGCCTGCCAAGCACAAGGTCCTGAGTTCAATTCCCATACCACAAATAAATAAATCCACCCAAAATTAAAAGGTGTACTCTGCACAGAAGCAGATGTCATTAAAAACAATGCAGATTATGGGGGCCGGGGATTTAGCTCAGTGGTTCCGGCGCCTGCCGTGCAAGCCCAAGGTCCCGAGTTCGATCCCCAGTACCAAAAAACAAAAAAAGAATAGTACACTGTTGAACTTCACTTAAATATCAGTATTGTCTACTACAATTGTCCTGGTCGGGTGTTAGAAATGAATTTGAGGTTTATGATTGCCTAAAACATGGTTCTGGGGCCGGAGATTTAGCTCAGTAGTTTTGCCGCCTGCTGTGCAAGCGCAAGGACTGAGTTCAATCCCCAGTACCAGAAAAAAAAAAAATGCAGATTAGAAGATAGTGGGGCCAGGGATTTAGCTCAGTGGTTCTGCCACCTGCCTCGCAAGCAGAAGGTCCCGAGTTCGATCCCTGGTACAAAAAAAAAAAGATAGTGGAATATAGTGTTTAAGTACTGGCAGGGAAAAACCACACCAACCAGAATTCTATGCCCAATAAAATGTCTTTTAAGAAGAGGTGGAATTGGGCCAGTGATTTACCTCAGTGGTTCTGGTGCCTGCCTCGCAAGTACAAGGTCCCAAGTTCAATCCCCAGTACCAAAATAGAAAAGAAAAGAAAAGGTGGAATAAAGTCTTTTTCAAATGTTCTCCATCAGAAACAATTTATCACCAGCAGACCTGAACAAAAACAAATCTTAACAGTAAGTCCTTCAACATTTACTAAATAATCTGTCTTTCCTCAGCTGATTTCAGATATTCTTGGATGAAGTTGTTTCCTAATTAGCTTCGGAGGCTAATTTTTCCCTGTTAAATCATTCTCCCTTTGGTTCTTAGTGTGCTCTACTATGGTATATTTAGAAATTCTGGATCATTGTATCTCTTTACCTTCTGCGGTAGACTCCATCACAGATGCACACCTAAATAATTTGAACCTCCTACCTGGAAGGGCAGTAATGTTTATTTAGATTTTGATATACCTAGAAATGCTATCATAATATTTCTAACCAGATACACGGATTTCATATTACATATTTAAAATCAACTTAATAATGACTACTCACTAGTAACTCTTAAAATTATTGATTTGTTTTCTTCTGTCATAAAAAGTTCATTAGCATATTCCTCTTATGCACATGGTGATTCAGGGGACTCTGTGGATGCATTGAGATCAGAGCACTACGGTTTGGCTTTAACATTGAAAGACCCAGTTCTTTCCCTATCATTTAGCAGAGACTCAACAAGACAGAGACTCATATGAAGAATGTTAATAAATAAATTCAACAGAAGCTAATTGTACTCTTTGTATTTTGTCTTTGAAGTCACAGTGGCGCTGCGAGGGCAGGTGTTTACAATCTCACCAGGTCCCTAGCTTTGGAATGGGCCAGCAGTGGAGTAAGAATCAACTGTGTTGCTCCTGTAAGTCACTGTTCTGTGGGGAGTATTCTAGCAGCTTAAATGTGCAAGTATATGATGAAAGATTGGCTTTAATAAATAGATGAAACTAGAAAGTCCAACCTGCAGGATAGAAGTATTCTTTGGTTGACAGATTGTCAGGAAGGTTAAATTCAGACAGTGATTCTCAATGCCGGCTATATATTAATGTGATCTTTTAAACAGTTGTGATATATGAGCTTCACTTCAGATCAGGGGGTCCAGGAGCCTGTATTTTAAAAAGCAGCCTAGAAACCTCAAAGAATAATTTTCAGTATCATTTTGTTGTTTCTTGTTTTATCATTAATCCTTTTTTAGGAGAGAATTTGAATGTCAGTATTCCAGAAAGGAACTACCCGCTATAGATTAACCAGAAGTCAAGACAAAATTTGACTGAATCAGAGTGTAAAATAAGGGGAAAATCACAATACACTCAACTTGAAAAACTCATTTTTGTGAAATAAGCTGTAGCATTGACCTCCTTGGTATTACATACTGGCCACATGTTACAAGAGAGACATTAGGTGAAGTAACTTACCTTGTACAACTAAGCTTAATTTCTACTTTGTCAGTGATGTTCTCTGGTTATTGTTTAGATGACAGTAGTCTATCTGAAATGCTATACTACCTTTAGATATTATGTATAGATTTACTATACATTGGCTCTGGATCTATTATCCACACTACTCAGTGAGAGCTAAGCACCAGACTGGTTGAAGTCTAACAAAACTACAGTTTCCTACCCCAAAACTTCTTTTGCCAAAACTATCTTCTGCCTTTCATGGTATATTAACTTATCTGTATTATACTCAACTATTTTTTAACACAAATTAATTACACTTCCATTCTTTTTTGTTTCATTTTGCGGTACCGGGGATCAAACTCAGGACCTGGTACTTGCGAGGCAGGCATGGTGCCACTGAGCTACATCCTCGACCTTGCAAGCGGCAGCGGCACCACTGAGCTAAATCCCCGCCCCCTATAGTTCTTTTATTGCGGGGGGGGGGTCAAACTCGGGTCCTTGCACTTGCGCAACAGGCAGCAAAACCACTAAGCTAAATCCCCAGCCAGTAGTTACATTCTTAATGTTGATACCTTGGAATTCCGGCCTCCAAAAGAGTATTTTTTAAAAAAACCTTTGATGGTAGGGCCGGGGATTTAGCTCAGTGGTTCCGCCGCCTGCCTCACAAGCGCAAGGACCCAAGTTCAATCCCCGGTACCAAAAAACAAACAAAAAAAACCTTTGATGGTGTATCAGTATGATAAACCTGATACAAGTTCATGTCTGTCCTTCAGAGATTTTTTGAAGTTTACTGTTTATACTTCAATACTTTTGTTTTGTTTGTTTTTGCGGTACTGGGGATCCAACTTAGGAACTTGTGCTTGCAAGGCAGGTGCAGTGCCACTGAACTAAATCCCCAGCCCTACACTGTAATACTTCTAAAAAGGTTTCATCCTCTTTAACATATGCATGAATTGTTTAGTTGGAAACCAGTATATCTTTCTAGTGTCCTTCAGGGTAAGTAATACTGACAGATTTCTTCATTTGACTTTTATTTCTTTTTCTTCCCTGTCTCTGCATTACTCCTAGTCAGAATCAATTACAAACAGTTTTATCCTGTGTCAAACAGTTTTCAAGTAATTTTCATGACCTGTAAGCCCTTGAAAGCTAGGAAAAGATAAATGAAAGATTGTTTTGTTTTGCTTTGAGGCAGTCTTGCCATATATGTGGTCCAGGCTAGCCTTGAGCATGCTAGATAGCTCAGGCTGGCTCAAATTCATGACCCTCCCATCTCAGCCTGCCAAGTGCTGAGATTCTAAGTGTGCTCTACCATACCTCGGTTATGAAAGTATTTTTAAACAATTAAAATTAATTTATTTAGAGCCGATTGACATGTTTTACTTGTGATTTCTCTCTGGATGAAAAATGTTGCATTTTTAAGCCCTTGATCAGTTCTTTACCCCTTATAAAGCACAGGTACCTAATGGACTGGTTATTCCCTGTTAAACTGACAGTTAAAACCAAGTCTTTCATGAAAATAGCCAAAACATCCAGAACTTGGCTGGCTACTGAGGGAGAGGCAATCACAAAATAGCATTTAAATAATCCACACGTGGCTAGTACTTGACTGTATACCTTTTTACAGTAATGGGAAAAATTAGTGTTGGAAATGTTAACATTTCTATTAGAGTTAAACCACTTAATTTTTGGTATTGATGGATGAACTGCCTTGATGTATTTACAATTAAACTTTGAGGTTTGTTTTTTTTAAACTTTGAGTTTTTATACTTTATCTTTTCTTGTTTTGTTTTTAATCACAGGGATTAATTTATTCCCAGACTGCTATGGACAACTATCCTGAAGACATTTTTACAAGTTCCTTTCAGAAAATCCCAGCTAAACGAATGGGAGTTCCTGAAGAGGTGCTGTATATTTCTAGAATTGATTACAATGATCACATTTTATGCTTTGGAGAGTCATAACATTCTGAGCACTTTTCAGGAATCTGGTTAGCTGATTGAGATTGTTTCTGTCGCTGCCACCAAAACATTTCTCCTGGGCTTTTTGGCTCTTGAGAATATCCTGGTGGTTCTTTGACCACTGGTAACAGGCTTTAACATAAGAGTGAATGCAATGTGAATTAAGAACAGCGTGGTTTTATTGTTTCATTTTACTTTTCAGCTACATAGTTTTATCGCAAGATAACTTGTCAGTACATAGGCCCGAAAGCAAGTCAAATGGTTGTGGCTTTAGGTAAGGTGGCCCGATTGAAGTATGTAAATATTAATAGCTTTCTCAAATGCCAGCAATATAAATCTTAAAATTTAAAGGAGTATCTTTTCCATGATAATAATAAAAACTAGAATATCTAGGAACAAAATTAGCTCTAAATAAAAAACAAAAACAACTTTTTACTGAAGAACAGAAAAAAGGCCAGAATAAATGGAGAGGTATCATGTTCATTAGGGGGGAAAGCCAATTTTATTACAAAATTCAAGTTTCTTTAATCTATAAATTTAATACATTTTTAAAGGTAACATGCTAGTTCTAAAGTTTGTTTAGAAAAATATTTATGCAAAAATTTGCCAGGCATCATGTCACATGCCTGAATCCTACCCCTCGGAAGGCTAAGGCAGAAGGATTGCCATGAGTTCGAGGCCAGACTGGACTACATAGTGAGTTCAAGGCCAGTCTGGACTACATAATGAGACTTTGTCTCAAAAAATAAAAAATCTATGCAAAATTACCAAAAGTGTTTTGAAACAGAATACTCAGAGGATTTGCTCTTCCAAATAATCAAAACATAGATTTTTTTTTTTTTCTCGTTGTGAGGTTCAAGCACATTCATTATAGAAAACTTGGGAAATCAGAAATAAAGGCAAAAGAAAAATCACTCATAACTATAATCCAAGCCGGGCATGGTAGAGCACACCTGTAATCCCAGCACTGGGGAGGCTGAGGCAGGAGGATTGCTGTGAGTTTGAGGCCAGCTTGGGCTACATAGTGAGTTCCTTTTTTTTTTCTTGGTACCGGGGATCGAACTTGGGACCTTGGGCTTGCAAGGCAGGCAGAGGAACCACTGAGCTAAATCCTTGGCCCTACATAGTGAGTTCAAGACCAGCCTGAACTACATAGTGAGACTCTGTCTCAAAAAACAAAAAAACTATAATACAGAGTGTAGGGGACAGGGGAAGGGGACGTTACCAGAACCTCTGCAGTGAGTCCTGGTCTCCTGCGAGCCAC